AACCTTTGTGAAGCAGTGCTCAGAATTTGCCCCTTCACCAAAGCCCTTTAAGCTAAAATTTTCCAACCCCAGGCAGCATCAAGAGTGGATCCACTTTTGGCCATCATTCTTCTCCAGGCCTGGCTTTCGCTCCCTACTGCAGTCTCAGCTCACGCCCGAGGAACTGCACCGGTTCAGACTCACTCTTCTGTCCGACAGCCTTTCCCACCCTGGGCTCTCTGAGGTGTGTGCTGCCAGCATGTCATGCTCAGTGTGTCTAGTCCACACTGCTCCTCGTAGCTCTGGCTCCTCAGCTTCCGCTGTGGGCCTTCTCGCTGCACTTCCTGTTCTCACGTGACCTTTCCATCTGGGGGCAGCTGCAGTGCTGCCCTTCCCTTGCTGCCCGCCCCACCCCCACTGCCCACCAAATATGCTGCCTTGTCTTCAGCCCCCCTTCTGTGAGCTTCCATACTCCACTCAGGTGGCCTCAGTCTCTTCCTGAGCAGCACTGCTTAGCCAGATCCTGTTCCCAGTGGCTGTTTCACTTACAGAAAACCCTCACGCGACAGAACCTTAAGAGGCCCTGCACGGCGCCCGCTCCATCGAGGTCTGTCCTCCCGTGGCTTCATTAGCGAAAACCCAGGGAGTGAAGTGCACTCGAGTTTGGTTCCCACCGTAACCTCCAGCCATTCTTCTGTATCAGCCATACTACAGACTGCTCAAAAATGCACCCTGGTGCCTTTATGGTTGCTACCCTGGCTTTATATTGCCGTTCATCTAGTCCACCCCTTTGAACCCTCCAATTAACATGTCCCACCAAAACTTCTCATTTTTCAGGCTCTGGTCTCCCATTTCATCTACTGCTTTTCAGAGCCTGGCATGAAGTCCCAGCATTTGCCCAAATACAGCCCCCGGATCTCAGAGGAGCCCCATGCTGGGAAGCTGTGGGCCCCGTCCCGGCAGCCCACGCCGCTCTGCACGCCCAGGCCCAGCGGCCCTCGTGCCACTGCCGGGCAGCCTCTTCCTCCTCTAGCCGCCGCCCTCGGCACAAGTGTGGTGTCACCTCCCTCCTGCCAGTCAGCACCTGCCAGTTTTCAGATAGCCCCATCTCTGCCACAGGCTTTCCCACTCTGTCCTCGGTTGACCTTAGAAAAGCCCCTGCGTTCCACAGTTTCCTTTTTCAGCTACCGTCCTTTAGACCACTTCTCACGAATTCAGCAGTCTCTTTTTTCATCTTTCTTGTTTCTTTCACCTTAAATAAAACTCACTCTCAGTTCACTCTAGGTCTTCATAGGATTCTCATCACTGACCACGGCTCAGAGCCATCCTGCTTATTTGAATTTTTAACCTTCCCTTCTACTGGCCATACTTGTTGTTTCAAGTATCTTTTAAGCGGACAGCCCCAAGGACACTCCCTCACAAGGCTGATTCTTACTTGGCCCCTTCCTCTGGCCATTCTGTCCTCCTTCACTTGTAACCTAGTTTAAGGCGTTCTCTCTCCATTTCATAAGCAACTGCTGTTTCCCAGTGGTCCTCATCCGAGCCTCGTTAATACCTTTCCCTACTCACACTTTCTGTTCTGCACTCCAGCTTGCATCTCTTCTCTCCACCTGCACCTCTAGCGTCTGTCTTCTTTACTCTCCTTCTCCATACTTTCATACCATTCGCCCTAGAAAATGCCACTTTCAGCCAATTCTCACATGGTAGATAATGTCTCAGGGCAGCCAACTTTGATGGCCCCTGTGCATAACCAGTACCACCTTACCATGCACTCTCTCACCTGGGATCTCTTGGGACAGATGCAGAAACTTCTCTTCGGATATACCCATAACCTTTGCCCATTACCCATCCAATAAAATACTCTACTCTGGAAAACTACCCGTTCACACCCTCTACTAAGCCAAGTCTTATATCTCACAAGATGCGAGCAGTAGCTTTTTATCAACATTCATAATAGGATTCCTCAAACGTTTCCTGTCACCCCAAATTACTGCACCAATAGCTAGTGTACTAACAGTTCTTACTTGAATCCAAACTCCTCACATTTCTAGATAATCCTCATTACAAGATTATCATTATACATCAAATGTGACCAAACAGAAGAGCAGACCCCACTCTAGGTCTGATCCCACACCACTCTGCTCTTCCACTCTGAGGTCATTTCCAACTCTTTGCCTTCAGTCTTGTCTCTTTCTTACTCCAGGAGTCGGATGGCCCAGGAATGCATTTCTTTCTATCAGTTGATGTCCCCCACTCCTCAGTGACTCACATCAGGGTCATTTTGATCCTGTCTTTCTGTACCTTTAGTCCTTTCCCACCCAGCTTGCCCCCCTCCCCCAACACACATTTGTCCTAGAAAACCCCAGCCTTCAGTAGCCTTCCTGTCACATGCACAGCTCTCCATGGCTTTAACCCTCTCTCCTGGCACTCTCCTGGCACTCGCCTCATTTTTGGCCTCACTGATGTCATCTTCTGGCTTCTCTACACCCTGTGCTGGATCCGCCCTGTCTCCGGTCAGTCCAGACCTGCATGGATTGATTGCTGCAATTAGCTGACATTTCAGATTTACCCCTTTTACCCTCTTTCTAGTCTTTGTTCTGTTGCCCATACCATTTCTTTATTATTCCAACAGCACTGGCTGGAAGCTCCTAATAAGCCTATTTCTTATTTAGTCACAGCCTCCCCTCCAGTGGGTGAGGGCCACCCAGTTTCCCATCCTGCCATCTTCTGTGCTGTGCACCCTGCACCCCAGGCTAATTCACACACCTCTCTCCTGACCTAGTTCCAGCAGCATCTTTTCTCTGATTCTGTGTTCTTCTCATATGGCTCCTCCTAATTACCTCTCGTTTTCAGTTAATACAAGATAAGCCTCATTTCTAAGCACACTGTTAATCTTCAGGTCATTCCCCTCTCACTTCCTCTGTTTATTTACGATGCTGTCATAAGCTCATTTTATATCATGGCAGTGGATTCAGTTTTATTCTCTTGCCATGGGAAGGCCCCTCTTACCAGCTTCTCTCCTCACCCAAGCTTAGCCATCCTCTCCGACACTGCTGAGTAGACAGCCTCCCTGCTTCCACTGCAGTTCCTCTGCAGTGCCTTGTATGCTCTCATCTCGTGCCAAACTACTCAGTTTAAACCCCGTCACAAGTTTCTACTAATGCGGTTCCTGTTTCCTCAATCTGCTGTCACGTTTACTCCGGTGTCATCTCACAGCTCAGCCTGCCCGTCCGTGACGGCTCCCACTGCCCCCGTCCTCTCTCCTTATTTTCCTGCCCACTTGCCTCTGCCTTCCCGCTGAGTCAGAGCCAAACTTGGGTTCATGTAGTCTATCGCTTAGTATCTGTCCTGCCTCTCCATTCTTATTTAATCATGACCAGTCTCCCTACTAAGTGCCGTTTCTCTTCATTAAAAGAAAACAAAACCAGAACACTTCCGCTGACCTGCTCTGGGGCTGTATTAACTCCTACTTCCTTCTTTCCTTCCCCTTTCTCCAGCAGGAAATCCTACCTGAATTCAACCATGATCATTCCTTCTTCGATCCCCTCTTGCACTGAAACAGACTTGGCAGTACTGATAAGCACATTTTCCCAAATAGGTGAGCCAGCTGCAACACTACATCACACTGTGTGCTGCTCATCTGCTCTAAGTTCTCAACTGTCCTTCATGGGATTCCCCACATTGGTTTTCACTAGGCGTCTGTTCTAGCTTCACTCCCTTGATTGTCTCGGCTGTCTCTGTTCCACAGAGTCTCCTTCATTTGAAATAAAGTATTTCACAATTTGTTCCTAAAGAAATTCTCTTAAGACTTGCACACTGGCATATAACTCTTACTGTTTCCAGCTGCCCCTCTTTTGGGCTTTCTTGTCCTCTGCTTTTGCCTGTGTTTGCTTCTGCTTGCTAAAGTCCTTTCACATCTTTTTAGATCCAAATAAACTACTACATCCTCTTAAAGTTTTAAGATTTTCCAAGCTTTTTTTAATTGGGCACTCCCACAGTGGCCTCTCTTAGACCTATGGCAATGCCATAGGTACTTTAATGGAAGTAGATAGGTTGGTCATATACACTCACTCTTATTTAGCTTCTAGACAATCAGCTCTTGGAAATATAGGTCATGTTCCAGCTATCTTTTTATATCTAAGGATCTAGCACATTCGTTTATACTTTTACATGTAACATCAACAGGTATTAACACTTTTTACGTGTTTAGATAGACAGAGAGAATTTAAAGAGTGAACAGTCTCAGAACGTAGCACGTCAGATATGGCTTTACATCTGAATCCATCCTTACCTCAACTTTTTTATCCTCCTAAATAACTCAGTTCCTAATTTCTATTATTTTTTGAGCCTACAGTCCTTTTTCAGGCCATGGATTAGACCCTAAATCTCTGTTCCTCATCCATGCTTAATAAAGCTTCTCCTTTAGAGAAGATTCCATTGTCATGAAGACTCTGCATTCCAAAATATGCCCCTTCTGTCCACTTCCTTTGTTTCTACCAATCATCTTGTAATGTAATTATCTACTTTTTCCACTTTACAACACTGACTCAACCAACCCCAGAATCTTATTACTGACCTACTCACTGTAGGTTGCAAGCTGACAGTTTCTGCTGCTGAGCTATACGCCTGCTGTCAGCCTAGAACCTAAAGACCTTATTGCTGACATGTGTTATTTGTTTTGTCAGCTCCTAAAGTATATATTTTTCAACATATAAACTCATTTCACAGGCATAGCAAAAAAACTGCCAAACGCATCTCCTCTACTTTATACGAATACAAAACCAAAGTCGAGCCCATGCTGGCTCTTCTGTACTAGGCTACCCCGCAGTGGCGAGTACCTTGACAGTCACACCTGTGTGAATGCTTTTGAGAAGCGTCACCCTCGAAACCAGAGCCTCCACGTTTAATTTGGTGATGCAGAGCACGGTGCCGAGTGCCGCGCGCATCTCCTGCATGCCTGTGAGAAACTGCTGATGCTGCTGACTGCCCCCTGACACAGGCCTGCCTGCACTCTCTTCCAGCTGCCAGCACGTTCAGCTGCACCATGAAGTTCACTGTTCGAGACTGCGACCCTGACACTGGGGTTCCAGCTGAGGAGGGTTATGATGATGAGTATGTGGTGAGTCTCCCCTGCACAGAGTGTCACTTTGACACTTAAACCACTGAGTGACCTTTCTGTGGAAAAAAACATTTTTCTAGGACATCTGACATGAACTCATGGGGACATTGCTCTTCCCAAGCAGATTACAACTGAGGTCCTGAACTGATCTTCCTCTGTAATGGGCCCTGGTCATGCTCAGAAGGGTTGAGATCAAAACTCACCCTTTTTAATGTCTCTATAATAGGGATTATTAAGGAAGAAAAATAACTCCATGATTTTCATTGAGATCAGTTCAATTTAAATATTGGGCCTTAGGGAGTTTTGTTCAGTTTTTAGTTTGCTTATAATTAAGCCGTATTATGGGTTGAAAAGCCTTCACAGAATACAGGGAAGTTGAAGAAGAAGAAAAAAAAAGGATCAACCTGCTAGGGAATGCTAAAGCCTGAATGAGTGGTGAGGTGTGGCTACATGACTGCTTGGTACCCCAGGGCTGTATTGTGTTACCTGAAATTGGCTAGGGCTGAATGTCCTATTGTCTTACTTTCTTGCTAAGGCCTACATCATTAAATCTATCCAGGCTACAGAGCTTAAAGGTAGTATAAGTTTTGTGGTTTGGTAGTTTTTCCTAGGTGCTTGCAAATGATAATCACATGAGTGAACTCCTTTGTTCTGTACTAAAAGAGCTTTCATTTATTTATCCCTGCTTGTTACCCACTAGCTAGAAGATCTTGAAGTGACTGTGTCTGATCACATTCAGAAAGTACTGAAGCCTAACTTTGCTGCTGCCTGGGAAGAGGTGGGAGAGACTTTTGAGAAAGAAGAGACCTTTGCCCTCAGTTCCACCAAAACTCTTGAAGGTGAGAACAGTTTTACTATCTGTGTATTACCTGGAAGCAGTATAAAAGCTAACAGGCATAGCTGTTATTCAAGAAAAATGTCCCGTTCTTTTAAGAACTTCATAAACTGTTTCACTTAGAAGGCCAGGACCCTTGTCTTCATCGTCTAATGGGCCAGTTCTAGGCCAGCAGCCCCCACTCCCAGCAGAGGCAGCTCCCTACACCGACCTTTTCTGATATGTACACCAATCTTCTCAACACAGAAGCTGTCAACAACATCATCACATTTCTGGGCATGCAGCCATGTGAGAGATCAGACAAAGTCCCTGAGAACAAGAATTCCCATTCCCTCTACCTGGCAGGTAAGGAACTTCCGTCTCGTTTCCCCTTTATTTTGTTGCAAAATTCCACGCCCTACCACTGTCCCACTGTCCCATTTACGTTAGTCAATATCTGAATCTCTCAAAATTTGCTTTACCTTTCAAAATGTTCTTTTAAAGTGTATATTTGGCCTAAAACAATAAAATCTCTGCCAGTACATCCCCAATTTGAGTACTCCAAATCAGTATTACCTTTTATATCCCTGATATCAAGGAAAGTCAAAGACTACTAAGACTTTATATGTAGGATCCAACTCCCACCATAAACACAAATCGCTATGGTCACAGAAAGGAGATGCAGGCAGAGAATGATAAATCTTGTTATTCAGAGCATGTTTTGAATTCTTAATACGGCTTTCATCACTTTTTTCTCAGGTGTATACAGAGGTGGCTATGATTTATTGGTGAGGTCCAGGCTGGCCTTAGCAGATGGAGTGACCATGCAAGTGACTGTCAGAAGCAAAGAGGGAACACCTGTAGATGTTATCTTGGCTTCTTTTGGTTAAGTTTTTACTGGGCAAGGTGAAGTCGGTGTACACGTCACTGTACATGACGTGGGGCTTTTAGGCTAGTGGCATGAATTCCCCAGAATCATAATTTTTAAAGGTTGACTTTGGAGAAGCAAATTAAATGTTTGGCCCTGAGCCAGCAGATCAAGCAAATGTCTGTCCTTCTGCATGCCTCTTCCCCCTCCCTTTTCTCCCTTTTAATTACACATGGTCATTGTTGGTATGATAGTACAGCTTTGAGTGACCTTGAAAAGCAAATACTATCCTCTACCCCAGCTGCTTAACTTCACTACATGCTTTAATTTAACGTGTCTCTGAAAGCTCCTAGCAATGCTGGAAAAGTTTTATCCCAGAGGGGTGGTGGGGGAGGGGAAGCCAGAGTCCACTTTTGTCAAAATTCATTTTTATTAATAGAAAATAAACACTTATTCCAGTTTCAGTTGTTGAAGTTGCTAATAAAAAAGAATTTAAAGTAATCACTTAATTATCCTGTTTTGACTAAGACAATGAAATTGTGGTTTAAAAAAAAAAGTATTCAGCACCATTTGCTCATAGATCTTTCAGAATTTTTTTTCTTAAAGTTTCTGGAACTTTCCTGTCTGTGAAGTACAGGAATTGCTAAGCTATATGAGGAAGCCTCTTTGGGTTAACCAATGAGAAATTAAGCAGTCATCATAAAAGAAGTCAATGTACATTCAGCATGGAAACTTGGACTATACAACGATCCCCTCCCCTCCAGCTCAGGAGGGACATGCTTCTAAGCACTGAGGTATGAAGAAATCAGACTGTTATTTGCTGTTAGAACTGGTCTTCCCAGCTAATAACAGTAAATCTCTGGCACAGATACTATTGGTCCTTAATGTCCTGTGATTTTAGGAAATTCTGTAAATAATTTGGATTTAGTTTGATTTATTTAGAAATTAAGCATGTTTAATAAGGTTCACTATTACACCAGAATAAGTGCTGGTTTAGTAGCCTTATAAAAATATATATATGTTATAGTGTTAACCAAAGTCTTAAAGCATATGCAGAATACTACAGTATTTGAACTAAACTAACAAAATGTCTATAATTAGAAGCAGCTGATAAAACTAAATCCAAAATTATGACAGGGGAGTCTCTCACTTCAAACTGTATTAAAGAACTTTAAAAAGCAGCATGTGCCCCTGAAGCCAATAAGAGGAGAGTAAGGTGGCACCCTCTCCTCATTCTTCACGGGATGGGCCAGAAAATCAGCCTTTCTAATTATTTTCAGAAAAGCCCATAGAAGTGTTAAAAACAATCTTTTATGCAAAAGAATGTGTCTCTGCCTTTCTGCATCAGCAACGTGTGCATCAGAATTTCCTAATAACACAAAGACAAAGGCAAGTCTATATACTTGCTCAGATGGCAGAGGAATGGGGTGGGAATAGACTGTTAGGTCACACTTTGTCAGAGCTTTGCTGGCTTTTTACTGTATGTTGTTCACCAGTGTGAGTCAGGTGGACTTGTGAGAGAATAGTGGTTGGGGCCAGGACCTCTCTTGGGCATTTCTTCCTAAGTGGAATATACAACAGATAAAGGAGTAGGGGAAGTAATACAGGGAAACTACTCTTTCCAGCTCAGAAGGAGTTGATGAAGCCCATATATGCATTCAAGAAGCCCATGGGATCCTCTAGCTGTGGATAGTGGCTAATGTGGTCATCCAGAATCGACACTGTGGACCGCGGCAGCGTTTTCCTAGTGGAAGAGAACAGCATGGAGGTGAACTTGAGGCTGGAGGGAGGGGGAGGGATGTAAGCCAGTGGGCAGCCCCAGTGAATGCCCCTGCGGACATACCACACTGGAAGGAACCAGCAAAGAGCTTATTCACCTAATACTTTGGAATTATATTTTAGGCAGGTAAACTTGCCAGTTCCATTTATGACAGATACAAGCTAGTTTTTAAATGTTCATAATTCAACAGTCAACGACTTAAAAATATAACAACTTGAAAATACAATTTTGCATCATATGTCAAAACAAAATGATTTCCAGCTCCCTAGAGAAACATGAAGCATCAAACAACTCACTGTCAAAGCAAGTTAAGAAAAGACCTTCCTTAACCTGAGAAGATGAGAGCAGGTATTCTGTTTAAAATGTAAGCTATTCACTACTGGGTTGTTTCTGCTAGGCCATGTGAAGGTATGGAACATTATTCTGTGACAGTCAAGATTTCATATTCCGACACCTTCTTAAGTACCTAGAGAAAATAACCACCAAGAGAAGGCACTTTTTCCACAGTGACCTTTTCTCAATCTCTCCTGCAGTCTGCTCAAGTGAGGTCAATGAAAGTTACATTTCTTAAAATACATATACCTCCTCCATTCCTTGGTTCACATAGTATCTTTTTCTTACCTGTACACCTTGGAATCTGCAGTAGCTACAACAGTGAAAACAGGTTATATAAATCAAGACAGTGTCTAAGTATCTTAATATTTGCATGAGAATAAGATTCGGATTCAACTTTTTGTTATGTTGCATGGATGAACATCAAAAGACCCCCTAAGGGAGACTCACCTGTACAGCTCCAAAAACTCTGGATAGGGATTCACAGGATCCAAGGGCCCGTAGATAAAATGAACTAGGAAGTAGAAGAGGAATGAATTTACTAACAGCTTGCAGAACTATTCTCCTACCCTTCCCAAAAGGAATTTTTAATGATAGAGAATCTAGCTATTTTCAGTAAATAAGGAAGGTCTAGGTATAAGCAACTTAACCCATTTTGGTTATTTCCTCCTACATATAACCCTTCAGTCCCTCCTAGATCTTTTGTGCTCTGGACCAAAAGGAGTAAGCACCACTTTCTATAAATTTAGGATAGCATTTAAAAAGCCTCTTTCTTCAGTTATAATTGAGCCTTGGCATTTTTAAATCAACCAGTAATTTCTTGAGCATTAACTATTATAAGTGTGAGTACTGCACTGATTCTTTCAAATCCATGAGAATGAAGAGAATGGGCAACCAACCTCTTGATTACTAATCTGAACAGCCTCTTGTTCCTGAAATTCAGTGTTAAACGTAGCAGCCCCTCAGAGTGCTATCAGCTACCTTTGCAATCAATGTTCTTTATACTTCACTCTGCAAACATCACTGGTGTTCCAGATGTTGGAAATGGTGTTTCCAGATTAAAGGACTCCCAGTTAAATTTGAATTTTAGATGATTACATACTTCTTTAAAAAAAATCTAAAATTCAACTTCAGCAGGTTTTTTTTTTTTTTAACCCTGTATTTAAGTCCCTCAGTTTCCCCTCAATCAAGATGTAATATAAAAATACTCACTAGGAATAGTTACAGAGGCAAGCGCTCCCACCCAGCGTCTTCTAAACTTCTTCCTTTGATTGATGTACTGTAAGAGACTATAGGGACAGGTAAGTCAGCAGAAGAAAAGCCAGACTTTCACTGTTACAGGAATACTAACCCCTGACAGGAGCCATAGAGCACAGTATGTTTTCTTAATCCAGATATTCCTGGAAACAGCCACTGACCCATTGCAGTTAATGTCTAGCATTAACCATCATGGAGTTATGGCAGTGACCGTGCCTGCTATCAACCTAAGAATTGAGGCTGCTCTAAGATCTAGAAGGCTGGCAGTCAGTTTGAACTGCAGGTGAGTAAGGCTGAGGCTAAGGAGATCTACCTGTGGCTCCACCAGCTAACCAGCTCTGAGGCAGAGAATATATACATTTCTCACTGTAGAAGTTTATAAGCACAAAACTTACTCTGTTTCATCTGATCATAAATAATATGGAGAATTTCCTTTTCCTACAGTGTTTAGAACTTAAACTCATGTATACAAATAATTCTGCTCACAACTCTTGAGTTATTTTTGTGACTCTTTGAAATGGTTTTGACAGAAAAGGGGCTTTTAAAAAGGGTTTATTTATGCATCCAACAACTGGGGGATAGGCTAGAGTTCTGCGGCTCCATGGCCAGGGATCAAACTCATGCTGCAGTGGCTGGTGATAACTTCACTGTGCTAAGACTTGCCCCCAAGAAAGTTTTTTTTTTTTTTTTTAATGAATCTTGAGGGGCCGGGAATGGGAGGATAGAATGGCTTCCTCACAATCCCCAGCAAAGCCACCAGTTAACAGTGCAAGCTATGGTGAACAAGGGCAGGGTTTTATGGTTTACTACCAGCTCTCAGTCCCTTTGCATAAGCAGCTATATTCTCATTTGAACTAAGGCAAAGGAATTCTTTGTGTAAGACAGAGAAGTCCACCTTCTTGGCCCATGTTACTACAGAAAATATATGAAAGAGATTTGTGCTTTGAGAGGAGAATACTTAGGTTGCTTTGAGAGGAGAATACTTAGGTTCCTTTCACAATTATGATTAGACATGCTGAAGCATTTAATACTAATAAAAGTTCAAAGAAGGATTTGTACAAGTCAATACACAGTCAACAAACTGAATTAGCATCAGAATTTGCAGTCACTAGGCTCTCTCTAGTCTCAATTCTACCTTCTTAGAAAGTGCAGAGCTTGATTTTTTCGGTCTGCCAGCAAGGAATAGAACAAACAATCCCACAACTTGGCACACTTTTCAAAAAAGCCTTGCCAGACACCAAATCAAGGGCTGTTTCTTACCTGTCGATGACTAAGTTCCCGTCATTGTTGCGTATCCCTGCCCACATGTCCCACAGCTCACTCTCAGAGGGTCGGGTGTATGGCCCAAAGACTGGGGTGAGGCTGAGAGCAGAAAGATAAGTGTGAGAAGAATTCAGAATGTCAAAAATGACGAACCTCAGAGGTCGTGTAGTCCGACCCAGAAATGATTCATGAATTCCTTCTACTACTACCCTGGCAAATGGCCAGCACCTTTGCTTTAAACCCTAGGGTTTGACCAAGAATTTTAATGGCAGGAACTTTATTTTTTTACTACATTGTTCCCATAGTATGGTGAATCAGTTTTTACAATGACTTACCCTCGAGAGAATACAAAGAAATTCATCAATCGCGTGAGGATGGGTGACAGCACGCCTCCATCTTTGAGAAGCTGTGGGCAAATAAGTTAAAGTAAAAATCAATCCAGAGAAAGAAGAAACTAACCAAGGCCAAATATTTTATAGTAGCAACTGAAAAAGGACTTTAGCCAAATCTGAGAGGTTTGATCCCTGACTTCTAGTTCTGTTTTACCTACCCACATTCTTGTCTCATGAAAGACAACCTATTTTAACTTGCCAGACGACTACATTTCTACACTTACTAAACCCCGAAGACCTTTAACTGATAATTCAACTTCAGGAACCCAGTTTGTTCAAATACCAAGCTGATGGCATCAAGCTTATTTCTCCACAGATCTGTTGATCTCTGGGAAGAACTCAGGCTGTCTTTAGCTACTCCTAATAGAAGGCTTTACTTTCATAAGTGGAAAATGAACTGCATCAAATTGATGAGTGGTCCATTATGGCAGGTATAGCTTTGTGTAAAGGTCCCAGCATTATTTATGCAAGTATAGACCTAAGAAATGAAAGACCTAGTCGGTGGGGTAGCCAACCTTTTGGAGAAGGAGGGGACGGTGAGTCTCCGGAAATATACCTATAGGAGAAGAAGAGATTCATGTTATACATTTGTCAACAAGCTTAGACCAAACAGGCCAATTATCAGAAAGTATTCGTCCTATTCACTATCACTTTGGAGCCTTTACTGCCAAAATCAGAATTAGAGAAAGTTAGTAGAGGCATTAATTGCATCTCTAGGGAACTCTGTGTTTAACGGGTCAATGGCCTCCCCTGGGACTTGCTTTCCCAATAAGGTGCATGGCTCTCATAAACCTGACAGCCAGGTTGTCCCCTGAGCACGTCCTCTGATTCCTTAGAATACGAAGTGTTGTTACGATTTCGGTGGCAACAGAAACCAGAGATTTAAGTGTAGGTTTAAAAAAACAAAACACAAACAACCCTAGAATTGACCCTTTTCCATCTTCCTCTAGGGCCCATAAGAGCCCTGAGCCTTAGTGATAGGGGAACAGATCTGCCCTTAACGGCCTTCATGGGATATTTGGGTGGTCGTGGATTTACAAGCCAGACCCAATGGCACACAAAGGAAGAGACCCATTAAGGCTTCATTAATTTCTAACTGAAACTTGGAGAAGGAGGAGACGATGAGTCTCAGGAAACATACCTATAGGAGAAATATACCTATACCGCCATCAATTACAAGTTTAAAAAATGGCAAATCACAATCGTATTAGAAGCACCTGTGGCTTCACTGCACATACATACTGTAATGACCCACTGCAGCTACTGAGAAATGCCACTTATACTCCTCACCCTAGTTAGCAAGACCCACCACTGGATCTTGCAATGTGATGCATTAAAAAACCCAATACATATTACTGTAAATACTTATTATTAATTATAGTCAGTATAATCAATTTGCTTTATGATCCTATTTTTCTGTATCTAAAAACATTCCGAGAAATGTTCAATAAATCGCACCAAAGTTGTTCATGACACAAAAAGGGGAGATCCCTTCATTTAGTTGTGTCAGCCTGCAGTATCAGATCCAAACACAGCCCCTCTGGGCCACACCTCATGCTCACCCACCGCCAAAGCAATTACCTCCATTAGACAGACAGAGACTCTTTATGGTAAGCCGACCAGATCGATTCTGCTTGAACCTAGAAAAGGGAGGAAAATACATCTAACTGAGCGGATTGAATGTAGCAGCTGACGACAAATTCCCAAGAGGGAGCGGGTCAGAAAGAGCCCGGGAGGCGAGAACTTTTCCGAGTCTGAAGCGGAGCGGCACCAGGAAAAATACAGAAGTCGACGGCACCACTGACCTATAGAGCAGCTCCTGGGCCACGATATCGCCATAATCGTGAGACAAGAGGTTGATCCTGCGGCTCTGAAGCCCCAGGTGCCGCAAAAGCGCCTCCACGATGCTGGCTTGCTCGAAGATGGAGTAATGATGAGGTCTCTAAGGGGAAAAAGCGCCCAGAGCAGAGCCGTGAGTGCAGGTCGTCAGGACGCTGTCCTAGTGCCCTTCTGCCCCCCACACTGGCCATCTAGAGGCTGCTTACCGGTTTGTCACTGAAGCCAAAGCCTAAGAAGTCAAGGGCAATCACGCGATGAAACCTCAAGGTCAGACCTTCCCAAATCTGTAAGAGAGAAAGGGATGATCTGGACTTTCTGATCCTGCCCCTCCCTCTCTGACCTCCAGCAGGACAGGAGTTCCATCCCTATCTCAGCTCAACAGATGTCAACCGAGGGGAAACTTTACGACACTACCGCAGGCCCTGAGACGATCCTCTTGGAAAGTGCTCCATCTGTAACAGTCGCTATTGAGGGAGGAACTCCAGCATTTTTAACTTGGCAGGGATCCTTCCCATATTGCCAGTTTTTTTACTCCCTCATAGTAAATGAGAAACAGTTCTATATTTAATCTTATTATATTAAGCAATCCAAATATGCAGAAGTCTTCCAGTACTAATAGCAAAATCCTTGATTTGGAACTTTTAAAAACCTAGTAGGACTTAGAAATCTGATTTCATTACCTTGTACCAATCATAGCTGGATGTTGGAAACCCATGTAGTAGCACGACTATCTCTGGGCTTCCAACCACACCCACGGAGTCTGGAAAGAAGCAGAAGACTCAGTTAGGCTCCCTATAACACGGTATGAAAATCTTAAGTACTGACACAATAAGATACAATGCCCAAACTAATTAAAGTAATATATCTTTTAAAAAATGCAAGCTTATACCTGTAGATAAAAAAGGTATTTTCTCCTTTTCATCTGTATATTAAAAAATTGTAATCGGCACACTTGATGTGAAAATACTTGAATACCCTTTCAAGTATTTGACCTAGATCTATAAAAAGTATTTCCCCAATTCGTTCTTTGTATTAATGTACAAATTTTTCATAGTAAAAAATATACTCTCACAGCATTTAAACTACAAATTATTTGTATTTTAGTGTTTCCCCCCCCCCCCCAAATTAAGTTAATTGAAGTAAAGTTAGTTTACATCGTATCTGCTTTGGGAATTTGTTTTAAACCTCTAACATATGTTTTCACATCCTGCACGTCACCCCCCCACTTCCCCAAAACTCCTCCACCCTCCCATCTGGTCGCTGCAGTTCTGCAGTCAAATGTCAAACCTTTGTCACTGGTTTGCTTTCTCTGTTACACATGCGAGACCATCCTACATGTCTTTCTCCTGATTTATTTCTCTCTCATCATCCCTTCCATGTATCTCATTGTTATGGCCTCACAAAACCCTACATATTACTGACGAACACCTTATTTGATACTATTTGTTGAGCACTTATTCCCGCACAATATCCAAATCCAACCCACCATCACAAGCATAATACTCAAAGTACTGTAAATTCTAGCAACTGTAAAAATAATATAGATATGAATATTTCTTAATGCATAAACATCTTTTTTATATATAGTATGTAAACAGTAAAATGCCCTGTTGATAGTAAATTAAAGCTAATATATTTGCATATTGCCAGTGGTGTGAGAATTTGCCTTGTGAAAATAATTTATAATTAGAAGTAATTCTATTAATACATAATATACACAAGCCTAGGTGTCTTAGTTGAGCATTCATGAAAATAAAATTATTGTTTACTAATAGTGTAGTTTGAGAGCATAAGGAAAAAGTTCACCCGTACATCAAAATTCCCCCTTTGATACTTTAAACACTGAAAAACTATAGACAACCTAAATGACCAATATAAATTAAATGGTATACTCACCTAGCTGAATACAGCAAATGAGAGGAGGTCAGGAGCAATAATGAAAAACGGTTTATGACAAACATTTTTCGTTATTGCTCTTGACCCCCGCCCAAAAGAAATCTTTCCCAATCTGGTTTCTCAGTATCACCTATAAAAAGAGGTTAGTGGCACCTATCTCCTAGCATGGTTGTAAAGAGTAAATGAAATAACAAAAGCTAAAAATATAATTCAATGCCTAGCCTATGGTAATAAGTAGCAAGGCGAACAGCAATTATCCTTAGCAAATTAATGTATACAAAGGTATAAAGTTTCAAGCACAAAAAGTTATATATCAAATTTTATAGAAAACAGTAAAATGCAATTAGGGCTGGGTGCGTGTGTGTCACCACCACAGCTCTGTCTGAATAGTGTTTCTGTTACCTGACACTAGAGGCGCTCAAAAAAGGAACCGTGTCTATTAGCGACATCAGCCTAGAGGGAAAATTACACCGTAGTCCTACAGAGACTACAGTCTCAATTCTACTGCCCCCACCTTTTCCAGAAGATTGCCTTGAATGTCTACACTATCAAGCACGCTGTACAGAAAAAGTGGCTCCCCCCCCCCCCGGCGCCCCCAAACGCCGAGAGGCAACAGAGACCAGTAGACGCAAAAAAGAGCCTCAGTGGCCCCTATAGGCCCTATGTACACAGGAAGTTCTGGCTCTTACCTTGGTAGAAGATGCGCAGTCCCTTGTAGGTGAAAAATTTGCCGGACGACTTCCAGGAGTGAAGAGCAGGGGAAAGCTGCGGGGGCGGGATGTGCAGGTAGGCGGCCAGCAGGGGAACGGCCAGTAACCCCACCTGGACCCACCACTCCCTCATCCTGTGGGGGAACCAGAGACCAGGGTCAGCAGTCAGGGGACACTGTCCGAGGGTGGAAGTTTCTAGGCTATGTGGCCACTACCTTGCCCTCTAAATGAACGTGGAAGAAGATAACGCACCTCTGCCTGCTGTGGCCACACCAGAGCTCGTGCAGCTCTGCATTTAGGGAAAAAATACTTTATTTTAATATGTAAACTTCCCCTCACTTATCCCACTTTCAGTGCTCAGCCCCCTCCCACGTGCGAAAGAGGTTTTGATGGAAAATCAAAGGAAAGTTACTTAAGTACTATGCATCTTCTCATGGGTTTTAGCAAGGCTTCCTAAGGAAAAAAATAATTTCCTGCGTCTTCACACTAAAAAATTATCACCTATCTGCCAGTCCCCATCAGTAAAATATTTATAAATTTTTCTTTAACCAATATGCTTTTAAAGATCATATTTCTATAGTAACATGCCCTTAAGCAGAATGCTGCTCTTGATTTTTAAAATATTTATCAAACTCTTGCCTAAGTGAAGTCCTGTGTTGTGCCACTTCACTTATCTGCATTTTGCTGAGAAATTGCTCAGGGCGGAGTTGTAAAAGAAGTAAGTACAATGTATTTTTCACATAAAATATATTGTCATGACCCTAAATTTCTATCTCTTGATGGGTCAAGTCAACAGATTATATTACTGCTTTTCTCAGCAGACTCTGAAGCTGGTGCCCATTTATTTAATTTCTTAGGACCCTCCTACGCCCCTCAAAAATAAGGCAGACCTCACACCCACAATCTGGGAATTGTGTCTTTGGAAAGAGCACATGTTTGCACACCCAACCTTCCATTGTCCAGGATTTCAGAGGTCCAGGACAATTTATCCACAATGACAAAGTGCTAAGTAAGCATTAGAAACCGTTCCCTCTTTTTCCATCTTATGAGTCCTGATAGTCATGAGGGAAAGAACTATCAGTAGGATGGAAGTTCTCTCAAAATATCCAGAATGGAAATACCTTCCAAAACTAAAGAAAGGATTGTCAAGAAACAGCTATACATTAAATTGTCAGAATTTTGGTGGAAATGGCTTTTGTCTGTACATTTATTCTCCCATCATATATCCTATAATCTGGCCACGATCCCTACCCGTCACAAACTAGATGTATACATTTTTTTAACCCAACTCACAAGATACATATATTTTTTTAACTCTCAAATAAACCTGCAAACCACAGTGGTAAGTTAACAGTTTCCCTTAAAGACTCTCAGCAGCTTTGACTATTTTTGCCTGTGGCAACCTTTTTTCCTTCCTCCAAAGTACCCGTCCGTCAGACAGACCCGATGATATGGGACTACCTTTAAAACACCAAAAATGATTTTGAAAAAGTGTTCTGATGTTGATAGTAAAAATTTCACCCCCACAATCGTAGCTGGCCACATCCCAGTATCTCCTTGTAAAATGAGATACAAAAAGCATTATTTTCTCTACATCAGCTCACAAATTTTCGCCACGGATTTCATCACTCCTTGTACCCCAAGCTCCTCTCATTCATTCGTGGGTTCCAGCCGCGGGGTATCTGCAATGACTCAGCAAAGAGCCATTGGGAGGGGCTAGTAAAAGAGCAAGCAAAAGCAGCTTCCCCCCACCCTTCTGGGCTGGGGGGTACGGGGAAGTAAGGGGAGCAGTGTACACACTCTGCTCCCAGACACCCCCGCCCTCCTCATCGTCCTTCTCTTTTACTATAAGAAAGCGAGGCGGCGATCGCTCAGGAAACTGTTTTCTGTCCTAATTATATCCCTCATGACATTTAAGGGTTTTTGTGTTTTATTTATTTATTTATTTACTTTAGTAAGGCAGCAGCAATCTGGCAGGCAGTTGGCAAAACAGATTAGATTTTTTTTTAACCAAAATCTCCACTATTTGATGAGCCATGAGTTGAGGAAATTTAGCAAACCCCAGTTAACAATGCTTCTGGAAATCAACCAACCTTTTTTGAGCCTTGATTTCCTCGTCATGTAAATAGGAAAGAAAAACACTTATTTAATACCACCAAAGCAGCCGACTTAATGGTATCGCCAAGAGACTATGAACTATTTAGTAATGAGCCAATACAATCAATTCATGTGTAACATTATGACAGCTTGGTCACATCACCATTCTCGCCTGGACTATTGCTGAAATCCCACAAATCCTTAAGCCTTGGTCAGATGGTAACGCATGTTCTGGTTGCACCTATGCGGTACGCAACTCACGCCATAGAGATTCAAAGGTCTTTTAACCCTACACTGCTGCAGGGCAATGCCGGGAGCTAGAAACCCGAAATCTGCGCCGCCGCCGCCACCGCAATACCTGGGTCTTGAAATCCTAAACTGCACCAATGTGATGCAAGGGTATAATCACGCCAGAGAGAGATTCGGGCATTAAGATCCTAAACCGCACCAAGGTGGAACTCGGCTCTAAAACGCCGTGACTGTGCCTGGACGACGCCGGGGTCTCCAACTACTAAATCCTATCCAAACAATGCCCGGGGTCTGGAAATTCCGAGTCACGGCGAACCCAAATTCTGAATGTTTTCCTACATACCTCCCCCAAACGGCACCCCCACCGCACGGGGGGTGGCGGCTTCCTCCCCGCGGGGTCCACAGCTCCAGCCAGGACTCCGAGTCGCCGCCCGCTCGTCGGCACCCCAGCCCCGGAGCCGCGCGGGGCCGGCCACACCCCCTGCGCCCGCCGCACACCCACCTGCGGAGGCGATCTCGGCGCACCATGGCGGCGTCTTATCCCATGCCGTCCGCACACCGATCGAGCACCGGACGCCTAGCCGCGCAAGGTCGGCCGGCAGCCCAGCACGGCTCGCCGCCCGCGAGGGCCGTGCGGCCGCGGCAAGCAGAGAGCGGCCCCCGGCAGGTGCTGCAGCACTGCGCGAGGCGCGGTTGCCGCAGAGGAGGCGCCGCCAGCCGAGGGGCGCTGTGGCAGCTCGTTGCCGCGGCAGCGCTGAGCCAGTGGGCACCGACTTTTAGAGCCCACCCGAGCCCCGCCCCTGACCCGCCCACCTCGCCGCAGTGCCCCTCCTGCCGCAGTCGCCGCCCCTCCCCGCACCCCCTCCCTGCAGCCCTGCAGCCGCCACGGGGCAGGGCGCCCCCCTCGCCGCAACTCCCCCAATGGGCACCTTCTGGGGTGTCGGTTCCCACCGACATACAGCTGCTCCCTGATGGACTCCCCCACCCCCCAACTCAGAGCCCGGGTTCTGCAGAAATCCTGCCCTGGCGAGCTGCCGCAGAAAAAAGCCAGATCCCTGAGGTCCCAGCACACACACCCTAAGACTCTCCGCAGCCGCGTCTCCCAACCCCCCAGTCCCAGAGCTGGCAGCGTGACCTCGGCTGCAGCGGGGCTCGGGTCTGCCGGCCCCCCGCCCGAGGCGTGGGTTCTGAAAAAGAGGGTCCAGTTCAGACAGCGGTCCCGAATGCCCCGCACCTCCTGGGTCCCTCGTCCTAACCACCAAGGCCACCACTCCGTGCCTGGGAACAGGAAGCTCGGCTGGTCAGACCACTGAGCTAACCCGCGGGTTCGTGGGACAGCCACGGTGAAGCCGAAAGGGCAAAACTTTCGGAAAGTCTAGATTCTCTCGCTGGGCCACCACCGCCGCGTGAGCACGTTTCCTTTGCAGCAGCAAGACGTGGTCCGCATGCCCGAGCCCCGCCGCAGCCCCACCGCGGCACCCGCTCCGGGCAAAGAGCCCACCCGCACCGGGAAGAATGACCACCCCGACGGGGAGAAGAAATCTCCCCTCGTAGGCGTGAACCACAAGTACTCCAGTAGTACTGGAGAGAGAGAAGGAATTTTTTCCTCCATAATCCTTTAAAAGACATCTATCATGCCTTTGAAAAGAAAAGTGTAGAGAATCACAGAATGTCTGTGCTCATTTTTCTGGCTTGGAAATTGAAATTCTGAGGAATGTGCGCGGGCCGCCACGGCAGTGCAAGCAGTGCCGGCTCCCTCCAGCGGGGGCGCTGCAGGCCTCGCTTCCACTCACGCAGTCCGGCTGGCCGCAGCCCACGGCGCAGGCAAGCACGCTTCGCAAAAAGCGGGTTCAGCCGAGCCAGCCCGGCATCTCACGCTGTGACCAGGAGCCAAGGACCGCCAACCAGATTCTGGAAAATAGATGTCATCAAAGCAGGTGACACGATCCAGGGTACAATTTTACTGGTCCAATACATGGAGCCATGAAACAAATGTTTATTTAGTACCTATTAGCACCTACCGTGTACTGACAGAGAATGGAAAATGCACCCGCCTTAAAGAAAGATGCTGGTCAAAGAGACAAGAACTGCGGCTGCTTAAAATTTCTCTCCAACTTCTTGGCGATATTTTGTGATCAGTAGGATCTCTCTCCCAGCCTCCCCCCCCCCCCCTTTTCGCTAACGTGTAAGGCCCTCAAAGGCTGGGCCCAAGTATTATTCACCTTTTGTGTCCCCAGATCTGGCCACAGTGCCGGCCACAAAGCAGGCCCCTAATAAATACTGCATGAATAAGTACAAGAATTTGAGCACAGGGGAGGAAGTAATTAAGGGGAGGGGGGAAGGGTGGTCTTGAATGATGAATAGACGTTTACCAGAGAGACAAAGAGCATTCCAACCAGAGGCACTGGCATTTGCAAAGCACTAGAGGCCCAAGACCGCACAACCTTGGGCGAAGCTGCAAGTCTTTTGGGCTGGGGTGCGGACAGATTAAAAAAATAGGCTAGAAAGCCTATTTCGTCCTAAAGAGTTTGGAATTTGTCCTAAAGAAAACGAGAAGCCATGGATGGATTTAAATCCTTTATGGCCTAAATTGGTTACTTCACAAAATTTTAATGAGTCTTTTTATAAGTGGAGGATTACTTATTTAAACTAACCACTGCCACCTTTTAAGAACTGAATAAATTAGCAAAAACTTAAATAGGTCTTTTCAATGAAGTAAAGACATTTCTATTTCAACTAACAACAATAAGAACCTTTGCTTTATATATATTTTCACATTTATTGTCAATGGAACCTATGAGTCTTGCAAACAGCTCTGCACTTTTCATTCTCACCAGGCCAAAGGCAACGGCATCCAAGGTGAAAGCAATTTTGTATTTAACAGACTGTGTGCACAAAGGATCTGGTTCTGAAAGCCGTGGCCATGTCGGCCCACATGGAACAAACGGGCAGACAGGACCAGAGGCCGTGGTGGAGGGGGAGGCAGTGACCAAGGGGAGCTCTTGAAGACCAGAGGAATACTAACACTCAAAGAGAAACCCTCCTTGACTACGCCGCTAGGAAAAACCTCCTTGGAGAAGGGATTGAGGTTGAGATAAATTTGAAACCAAGAACTGGGTTAGCAGAGAACGGCTTCGTTTAGAGGACCCTCCAGCCCAGCAACAGTTTGAAAAACACAAAGGATACTCCGAAGGATCAGCTTAGCTAGAGCCAGGTATTTGCTTTCAAAAGTCGAAGGAGAAAATGCTAGTGGGTAATGTCCCAGAAACCGAAGAGTTAATAGATTTTCTAAATGTGCCTGACTTTCTTCCACATAGCAGCTTCCTCCACCGGGGGAGAATCTGGTCCAAGGTATAAAACACTTGGAACGCCTGAGAAAACATGTAAGCGTACATAAATCTGAAGTCTGCCTCTGGCTTACTCTCAGGACACCCTTTCAGTGCTCGGATACAGACTGCACACTTGACCGACATCACATGCAGCACTGTATTTCCTCCACGGGTAGCTTATCACACATTCCTGTCACATTCCAATTCTAAGATAGTCCCACATAATCAGAATTCAGATTTGTGCAAAAATCTGCATAGAATGCTCTATATTTATTAGCTAGATGATGCACAACAGCAAGATGAGACCCACACGGCTGCAACCGTGGATTCAATAATTGTATTTTTATAACCTCGATTTGAGACCCAGAATATGACAAATACATGGATATTTATGGAGACACTAGTACTGAACTGGGAACGCCACTTTCAAAAGCCATAAATATCTATTCAAATAAACTAAGAAAGTTCAAATTGAGAAAAAGTTGGCTGGATGGCAGCATGTGTTAGAGACTCCAGGATTTAAAAGTTGACGGTCAATGTGACAGTGCTCCCACAGCCACTGGAGACTAATTAGAAAAACACCCAAAATAAGCTAATTCTACTCAAGTCTGCTAGTTAGATCTCAGAAAAGGCATTTTAATCTGTTCTACAGAGGAAATTAGGAGATCCACCAACAAACAGTAACTTGTTCAGAGAACGTCAACCAGACTGCACTGCAAATTATGTCACTTGAAGGTACAACAGCTCTCATGTTTTAAGCTCCTACTGTAGCATGGATCTTCACCCGATTTATCACTAATCCTCATAAAAATTCAACTAGATGAGTTGATGTGACTGTATTGACAATTTCTTCCATTTGTCTCAGCTTCACATTTTTCAGAGAAAGATACAGCAGCTCAGAGCATGAAGTATTCATATGTGAAGGGACGGGGAACGCAACGCAGATGTGTCTGGCCCCAAGGCTGGTGTTCTTTCCACTACCCCACACTGCCTCCCTGTTTAGAATAAAGAAGCATGTTTAGTTGGAAGAAAAGAAGCCTTGTGGAGTGAGTGGAAGAAGGAAATGTGTTAGCAGTCCTCAAATATTTGTGGAAGCAGCATTAGACATTTTGTTCTGTATGGCTCCAACGAGTGCAGGCTTTAGAGAAACAGATGTCGATTCAACATAAAGAACGTTCCAAGGGTCGGGGCTGTCTCGAGACTGGGTGGCTCAGCCATTTTGAGACGTGACAAGTTCCCTGTCACCAGGAGCTGGGTAACTCAGTGGCAGGTATATAAGCTCTAGATATGTGAATGCACGAATAACCTTCAAGGTCTTTTTCCATCTCATAGAAACTATGGCTCAGAGAGGTACTGGGGGGGTGAAATATTCCACTAGGTTGGTCTCAGGGGTCTTTATACAACATGCTGCTTTAGGTGAAGGCTGAGACAAATGGAAGAAATTGTCAGTACAGTCGCATCAACTTCCCCTTCATCCAAATGTAACCACTACATTCCCAAAGCGACTGGGATCTTTCTTCTTCAGGTTCATTTTGTGGGTACATTTCAGATTGCAAAAAGTCCAAGTGGGATAAAACACTAACCAGATTAAATGAATCCACACGAGAGATGACTGTCTCTATAGAATTACAGCATCAACAAGCACCCTGGGCATTACTGGGCACACTCCACGGAGCCTTCAGCACATGGTATTAATCCCACAGATCCACACCTGGAGTATCTTCTACACTGACACACATAATTATGCTGAAGGATTGGAAATAAAATCACAGCTCGCATTTTTCTAGCCCTTTACCCTTCAGGTGTATTATCTCATCTTTGGCTCACCACAGTTTTCTAAGGAAAACAGTTACTTTCTTTCAGACAGACAAGTAATTTCCTAGCCGCCTGGGGAAGAAAGGACGACCGCACACAACTCAATTCTTACTATTTTTTTTTTTCAAATCCTTTCCACATCATTCTTGCAGCCTGGATGAGTCAACGACGAGCAGGTGTTTGGCTTTTCCTCGATGATTATCAGCACCTCTCACCTTCTTCAGCTGTCCTCTCCCCCACCCCCACCCAGGGCTTCCAGCTGCAGTCACCACGGAAGCCGAAGCTGCACCCCAACCCCCCAACCCAGTTACCCCACACTTGCTACTCCAACTCCTACTGACCGCACTCCTCTGGCAGCCCGCGCCCCACGTGCCAGCCGCCGCCCCACCTTGCCCCCCTCCCCAAGGGCCGCGTCGCCGACTCCCCCTGGGCTGGAGGGGTGGGGGTCCAGC